CACCTGGAAAATAAACTCCATTCTCATACTCCAAATTCTCATGTAGGACAGCATGATATAAAACGAGATTTAGTATAAAGGAGAACATGGAAGGGGTAACTGGTAAAGTTACTGCCATGTGACCAGGAGGTCACAGGTTCGAGCCGTGAAAACAGCCTCTTGCAGAAATGTAGGGTAAGGTTGCGTACAATAGACCCTTATGGTCCGGATCTTCCCCGAACCCCGTGCATAGCGGGAGCTTAGTGCACCGAGCTGCTCTTTTTTAGTATAAAGGAGAACATGCAAGTCCTATTTCTTTTTATAACGGTAGTGTCAGGACCAGCTTGCATGCACCTGCAGATCCTATTTCTATAAGAAAGGAATGGACTTTTACGTTGACTAATCTCTTTTTTTCATGAGGGGGGATAAGTATTCATATTCCCCTTTTAATTAGCATCTCCCCTAGTATCGTTAATCAACAACGTTATTGTAAATTATGCACTGCACAGGTAAATGATCGTTGATAAGTTTACATGCTGTGCTAAAGCTTTCTACTTATATGACACAAGCATCGACACTTTTTTTTCCAAAGTCACCAGTTTTATCAAATGAAAATGTATTTGGCTACGGGCATTGGCACTTCATGTTTTTGCGGCTTGCCAATATGACAACTAGATGAGAAAATAAACAAGGTATTGGAAGTAAGATTTTACTTACAGCTTCGATACCGAGTGAGTCTGGCGTATCATTTAGAACAGTTTGATTCTCTTCAACAGCAATTATAAGAGGCTGCAAAACATGAGCAAATAGGAAAAATGGCATTATTATCATGAATGCTGAAGGTATCTGACAAGTTGTCTCCTATCTAGCATTAGTAGTATTAGAGGAAGTTTAGGCAACCGATGGTAACACTGTCACGACAAAAGGAAGAAGAGAAAAGTAGTGTAATTTGGGGCACGGAATACTTAATAACCATGAAAAGGAATGAGGTGTTTTCTTTTTCCCTACCGTTAGAAGGGAAAGGGGAGTGGGATGATTCCGATTGAATCAACTAGTCAGCTGTCGCAAGGGAAAGGCCTATCTCCAAGCCTAGCAAACACTAGACTCATCCAGTTGATGTCAAAATATCAAGAGCCAATTACCTTGTGTCTTTTGCCGTTGGCAAAAGCAAGAACACCATCTCCGCCACAAGCGTCGATCGGTACAATTACACTGTCAACATCACCTGCTACAATGCAGTCCTCTGAAAAATTGTTTCCCTTGACCAAATACTGTGGTGCAGTGCTAAGCTCAGCAAGTACACATGGCAAGAATGTAAATCCTATCTGTCCGAAAATTGACAGAAGAAAACAAAAATATTATGAGAATGACAAATGGAAAAGATACTAGAGAATGCAAGTGTACTATCTTAGCAGTTTTATACATCATGATTTTAGGAACCAAGTCATATCTCCCTCTTACTCAATATAAATGCCCAAGACAAACAATTTCTGCAGCATGCTTTTATCATAATATTACTATAATTTAGAAACATCCTAAACTATTAAAGAATGTGAGTAGCAAGTGCAGCTAACTATACAAAGAAAAACCAAACGAATACACGTTAATATTCTGAACAGGTTTGACTTTTCAGAATTCATGAAGTAAACACTGAGAAGAAACTAAAATTTAGAATTTTGTCGCAGCTTCTAGAATTGCAGATTTAGAATGCATCTTCCTTCGCCCAAAATCTGTCCATATTAATAAACCAGTGAAAGATGCACATATAGTAATTTTCAGAAACTACTAAACCCACATATTACCTATGTTACTTGGACTCTTCAAAAATATTGGTGGGTGCGTGTCGGATCCTCCAAATTTAGTGCATTTTTGGAGGATCCAACATGGGTACGGCAACACTTTTGGAGAGTCTGAGCAACATAGCATATTACCTTAATACAGTAACTCAACATGAAATAGCTAAACCAAAAGCTACCATACTTAATAATATCCCATACATCAGAGGATCTATTACAGTGTCTCCAAATAGTATGTAGGAGAAGGTCGGCAACAAATTGGATCCAAGAAGTGTCAAGAAATACAAAGCTTCAGAAAGTGTTTACGAACTATTTAGCTCCTTTTGAAAATGACCATCTCACGCAAGAGAAGACCTAAATGGCTAAGGATTATCATGCTTCCATTTTACAATGATTATCATTTAAAATCCCCTAAGAAGAAACTATAATTCGAAAAAATCTCATGCACTATCCTTGTGTTGGAAGGGGAGCCTTAGTGTAACTAGTAAAGTTACTCTCATGTGACCACGAGGTCACGGGGTTCGAGCCGTGGAAACGGCCTCTTGTAGAAATGCAGGTTACGGCTGCCTACAATAGAACCTTGTGGTCCGGACCTTCCCGGACCTGTGCATAGTGGGAGCTTAGAGCACCGGGCTACACTTTCCTTGTGTAACAAACCAAAAGCTGCAGAGAAAATATGTCCTGGCCATTCTACATTAGTTCCCAGTCATTTAATGGACAACAAACTTCTTCATGATTAAACAGCACACAGCCTTCAATTCATGATTATACATGGTGATAGCTTAAATCTTGTTATAATCAAAGGACAATAACTAACCTCTTCAGCAGCTGATTTTGGACATAGAGACATGCTTAATTGAGGAGGCAATACTGCCGGAGCATGGGCGCAGGGAATCTGAAAATTTTTCACCACTAGATGACTTATAACAGCCTCCACACCTGCTAAAAGATCTACCCCCTGTAGATTTAAAGGGTATAGAATAAAACTGAAATCAGGAACTTAAGTTGAATTTCCTCATTATAAATTGTCAAATTAAAACAGTACAACTTTAGCAGAGTAATCAATGGAAGAAGGTAACTCAAGCTGATATTATACTGAACTCAAATATTACACCTTCTAGTTAGATAATTTCACACACATAAGTTATGGCAAAATTGTAGAGACTCAAACTTTAGGACATAGCACTTTAGGAGTTGCTGAAACATATTTATTCTGTAATGAGCTCATGAATTGAGACCGTCTTGTATCTAGGAATTCAGATAGATACTATTGGTGACTACATTTGCAATGAAGTGAGAAGATATTCATAGAAAAATTAATACCACTCCTTGTCGATAATCATCCAAGTCTTCAGTATCATCGTCTGGAAAGCGAGCCACCACTGCTACTGCATTTACCTTAGACTTATTTTGCAAGGTCTCCACAGCTCTCAATAGTGAATCTGGGCGTTGTATCCTCCCTGTTGATTGGCCACTTGTTGGGTCAACCCATTTCTCCACCTTTACAGTTTACATACACCCCGTGTTAGCTAGCAATACATTAGAAGTTAATGTGAAGTTAATAATAAATAGATGTGACAATGAAACTGTCGTCTAAGCCAAAGAAAATCAGATTATTTCTGATCTACTATGATATATGAAATAGTAACTAAATATAACCCCCACAACATCTACTTGAATTCAACTTAGAAACCAAAAAGCATACCAGTAGAGGTGTATCAGTTACAGTGTATCCCACTATTGGCAATCCAAGAGAAGCTCTTGTTGCATCAACTACTTGTAGATGACGAATAAGAAGCTCTTTCTCTATCCCAGCATCAAAAACTAATCCCACCTGCTTTCACATTACAAGTTCACAATGTGATTGCAAGCTGAATGATGCAGCAACAGCTCGAATACAGCTCTGATTTCACAGGATATACAAGCAAACTTTTTTACAGCTTACCCTATTTTGATGAACTGGTTGCAATCCCCAGAGGCCTTCGGCAAATCGATCCAGTGCATAGCCTTCAACATAGAGTGCATTCGGCATCGGCCAGTACAGCATTGCTGCATTAAGAACCTGTATGACTTACAATTTTACAGAGAGCTAACAATAATGCATGTTAAACCAAAACGTAAGCGTGTTTCCTACTCTAGATTGACAACCTATTTACTTCATCCACGCAATTATTCCAGCATAGTTCCTGTCACTTTTCTTTCTTCTGATCCAATGTGTGAATGTTGATTCCTTATTCTGTCGACAATCTAAAGAAACAAGTAGAATTTACTCTATCTTGGCCCTAAAGCAAATGAAATATTTTTCAATTTTTCATTATTGATGGATCAAGTCCCATCAAATCGTTCAGTTGCTTGACTTGCCTCTCTATATTGAATTTTTTGTTCCACAGAAGTATTTTTTTGGGGACATACTAAGAATTTAAGTTCCAAGATAGAGACTCAGCTAGGTAGTGAAATTTTACAGAATGTAAATGTAACGTTGCAGAGGCTATCAAATTGCTCAAGAAAAGCATAGCTCAATGTATTATGCGTCTAAAATGCTATACTATCCACGATATCCTTTGTAGCTACTTTAGGTTGAAGCACAATTTCTTAGGTATAGTGATACCTGCATCATTTTCTCTATAAATGTGCCATTATATTAAGGACAAGCTACATTCGAAGCCTAAAAAATATTCTTAAAAGAAAAATTACACTCTACATTTCAATGATGAAAACCAGCAGTTAATGAGTTCTTCACTTGAAGTTTCCCCACTTTGAATTCTAAAAATATCTTAACTTCGATTGCCAATTCAATACATATACAATGTGTGAATTTAGATGGATCAGTAAGCTCCTTCATCAACTCCATTAATTCAATCTTTAGTTAATCATACTACAACAAATTGTCACACTATAATTTTTAAAATATCAGGCATAAACATATTATTTGGTTTTGACATCTCGGACCCCTTACTCTTCGGAGTTTCATCTAGACACCAATTGTTGATGAAACACACTATTTTAAAACCCTTCTGACCCTGTGTGTCGCTCAATGGTACTAATGTTAATATCCACATCAGATAAAATAAGCACATCATTTTTATTATTAGGGCAGCCCAGTGCACTAAGCTCCCGCTATGCGCGGGGTCCGGGAAGGTCCGGACCACAAAGGGTCTATTGTATGCAGTTTTAGCCTGCATTTCTGCAAGAGGCTGTTTTCACGGCTCGAACCCGTGACCTCCTGGTCACATGGTAGTAACTATACTAGTTAGGCTATCATTTTTATTATTATAAAGAAAAAATAAGCAAATAAATAAATGCTGATATGCTAGTAACATAAGAAACATAAAATTAATCATACATTAGGATGAGAGATAAGGCAGTCAACAACAGAGGAAAGAGCTCGAGCAACAGGTAAAGCATCTCCAGCATAGCCACCAATGGCTGCTCCTACACCTGTTGGCACTATCATCACACTTGTATACTCCCTCTTAAACTGCTCAAGAACCATAAAAACACACAAAATATACAATGAACTCAATTGGATACCCAGAAAATCTGTTTTCTTGAAATTCAAAAAAATAAAAATCAAGTCTTGGTGAATAAAAATTGCACCTTTTTATTTTGTAAGAAAGAGGTGGAACATGAGATTCTGAAATTGGATTTTGAATAATGAGATTTGGGGAGGAGATATTGATGCCTTACTGAAGGAGAATAAAGATTGAGGCTTAGAGTTGCCATTGGTTCTCTGCTTGGTCTAGTGTGGCATTCTTCTGAGCAGAGAATGAAATTGGAAAGAAGAGGATAATGGCATAATGAAGGTTAATAAAAAGGTATTTGTCAATTTCACCCCTTAGATTCTATAAAATGTCACTAATATCCATATTATAATCCTATCATTATAATAAATGAGTTAATATCCTAAATCCCCCTAAACTATCATGTTTTTGTCATTTTCATGCTTAAATTATCCGGTATCCCCCCAAACCCCCTAAACTATATTCTCCTTCATATTAAAACACCCTCATTATATTTCTGATAGTTTGTGTGTTACACGCTCCAAATTATCAAAATCATTTGCCATGTGGCAATACACGTGTGGGGTTAATTAGCTTAATCTAGAAATTGACTTAGTTAGTTATTTTAAATAATAATCAAGTATTATTAGAGGGATAAATATTTACCCAGTTAGAAACCAAAAAAAGAGGGGTAGAATAGAATTATTTCCATCAATTCTTCTCTCCTCTCTTCTGATGATGGATACTACATCTCTCAGTAGCGATTTGCTCCATTAAGCTTTGTTGTAAGCTTGATTTCCCCCAGTAACCCTCGATTGCTTAGTCTTATTTTGTTTTTGCTCAAGATTAGACATTAAAAATTAAGGTTTGCTGAAAAAACTAAGGTTCATTGGACTTCTAATTGAGTGAAGATTACTGGTAAAACTTTGAGTTGCTTTGAAGAATATAGCTATGCACAAGTACTACTTCTTTAAAAACTAACTTCTTTGTTGCAAAATTATTGCATAAATTTGTTGGGTAACTTCAAGTCAATTTTACCCAAAAAATTAGATTTTTCTTGTGAGTTGTTGAAAGAGTGTTTCTTCTTTCAAATAAATTCGGGTAATAAATGAAAGAAGAATAAAATGAGAAGGATAAAAAGAAGATCCAGTAATAACAAGAGAGGGAGAATTTCATATGGAACCAGATGGAGAAATGAAGAAGAAAAGAGAAAAAATGAAGGGAAATGGTGAAAAAAGAGAGGAAGAAAGGTTTAATTAGTCGTTACATGCTGTCAGGTGGAGACCTTTTGATAGATTTTCCAGTCATCACGCGCGCAATAGCAAGTTATTACACATGATCTGCCAGAAATATAACGAGGGTGTTTCAATATGAAGGAAAATATAGTTTAAGGAGATTTTGGGGACACCGAATAGTTTAAGCAGGAAATTGACAAAAACGTGATAGTTTAGGGGTATTTTAGAGTATAAACTCTATTATTCCGCAACCAGGAAATACCAAATGCATAAGTAAATGTAACGACCCAACTGGTCATTTTAAGCAATTGCGTTCGGTTTGGCACTTTGAAGTCATCAGTAGTTTCACATAGTGTATTATGACTTGTGTGCATCATCGATTCGGGTTTTTGAGAAGTTCAGAAAGGATTTTAGAAGTGACCTTCATTTGAGAAGCTTGAAGTTGAAAGAATTAACCAAGATTTGACCCAAGATTTGACTTTTGAGTATTTGACCTCGGATTGGAGTTTCGATGGTTCTGAAAGGCTCGGGTGGTAATTTTGGACTTAGGTGTGCGCTCAAATTTGGATTTGGAGGTCCATAGAGTAATTTGAAGCATTTTGGCGAAAATTAAAAAGTTGAAGTTTTGGAAGATTGAGAGGTTTGATCGAGAGTTGACTTTGGTGATATTGGGGTCGGAATGCGATTCCGAGAGTTGGAATAGCTCCACTATGTCATTTGAGACTTGCCTGCAAAATTTGGTGTCATTTAGAATTGATTTGATATGGTTCGGACACTTGGTTGCGATTTTAGAAGTTCTTGAAGTTCAAGGTGATTTTCATGTGTTTTTGGCATCCGATTCATAGTTCTAGAAGTTATTTTGGTGTTTCGATCGTGCAAGCGAGTTCGTGTTATGTGTTCAAACTTGTGTGGGTGTTTGTTTTGGAGCCTGCGGGGCTCAGGTGAGTTTTGGATTAGCTTCGAATTCTTTTGTTAAACTTTTTTGTGTGTTGGTTCTGGTTTTCGAGCATTTCCGATGCTTTTATCGCAAATGCAACAACAGCAATTGCGAGGTAGCCATCACAAGTGCGAACCTGGGCTGTTGGGGAATGGGTTGCATTTGCGAAGAAAGTATCGCTTTTGCGAAGCCTTCAGAGTTCGCATTTGCGAACTCCCTATCGCATTTGCGATGAAGGCAGGATTGTTCCAAGCTTCACTTTTGCAAAGGATTCTTCACTTTTGTGAGTTCGCATTTGCAAACTCAGTGTCGCAAATGCGACATCTGCAGCCTGCTAAAAGCTGGGCATTCCGAATCTTAGCTTCATTTTATCATATTTTGAAACCTAAGTCCGAGAGTGAGCGATTTTGAGACAGGATTTTCATATCAAACCATTGTGTAAGTGCCTCTAATTAATTTTCAGCTATAATTTGTGATTATATCTTAGATTTAACATCAAATTCATGAGAATCTAAAGGAAATTTTGGGAAAAATTATGAAATCTTTCAAAATGTAAAATCATGATTTGGAGGACGAATTGGTATCGGAATTTGATAATTTTTGTATTGTTGAACTCGTATCGGAATGGGTGTTTAGGTTTTGTAAATTTTATCGGGTTCTGAAGTGTGGACCCGGGGAGTTGACTTTTGTTGACTTTTTGTAAATTGTATAAGTATCATAGCTTTATTAATTAAAACTATTTTCTCTTGCATTGTTTAATGTATTTAAGTCGTCTTTGGCTAGATTGGGCTGAGCGATGGTGAATTGGTAAAGGAAAAGCTAAATTGAGTATTGAGTTGGCCGAATTGAGGTAAATATCTTGTCTAACTTTGTGTAGGGGAAACCACCCCTTAGGAATTGAGTCAATTGTGCTATCTTGATATGTGAAAGCTGTGTACGCAAGATGACGAGTGGGTACACAGTCTATATGTGGTATTGACCGGTTAGATTGCCTAGTATCTTTTCATGCCTTTGATTAAATTGTCATAATATGTAGTATCTTATTATTAGGCTACTCTTACATGCTCTATATGATGTTGTTAGCACTTATTTATCTCTTGCTCATTGTTTGGATCTTATTTTCCTTTGTTGAAGTTATTGTCTTCCTTATTATTTTATTACTTCTTAATTGTGAGTTCCTCTATGACTCTGTGCATATATGCTACATGTCCAAATTATTGTGATTGCATGCGTAGTTATCATGTGCCTTACATGTCCTGTTATTTTGTAAAGGTTGTTATATTCCTTTGATTTTTACATGATTCCCTTGTGGCCGTGTACTCATACGCTTGGTTGAAGAAATTCTTGTAAATTAAGTTATTAAATTGTTGTTGTTGATTTAAATTATTGTACGGGGGATCGAATTGCACACCGCAACAGGTGAAATAAGGGAGATGGTGGAATAAGGGAGGATATTTATATTGTGATAGTGTTATTATACGGTGGGATGGGTTTGCACACGACAACAGGTGAAATAAGGGTAAATTGATATGGTGGAATAAGGGTGAATTATGATATTGATATTATATGGTGGAATCGGGTTGCGCGCCGCAACATATTATGTTTATTGTCATGATATTGATATTGTACGGTGGGATCGGGTTGCACGCCACAATAGGGGAAATAAGGGTGAATTGATATGGTGGAATAAGGGTGACTTATGATATTGATATTATATGGTAGAAACGGGTTGCGCGCCACAACATATTTTGTATTTTGGTATCCCCTGATTTATTATATTGGCTTTAGTTCCTTCGTGCGAGACTTTGATAATCTGTATTACTGGTTTTCACTGAATTCTAAGGATCGAGTTATTGTTATTCTGGTGAATTAATTTTCAAAGTAAATCTACTACGTTGAGTCTTTACCTCCTGCCCTGTTGAGTCTTTAGTCATATAAAGTGATTTAAAATGAAAGAACTAATATCATGCTACCTTGTGTGACTTTAAGTTAGAACTCACTGTATATTTCAGTATCTACTATTTCTAATTATCGTTATATTTTATTTCAATTACTTCCCCAGCTTAATCTTCTTAACCTATCTGGGGTTTTATTTTACTTAAAAAGGAATGGTTATTATGTTTTAACTTAATAAATTCTATATTAAATGCAATAGCTATTCGATGTTGAATTTTATTTGAAAATATTATTTTCTTCATTCAAATGATTTCTAAAACAAAACTCATCTTTCTTGTTGATTTCCTATGTGGTCTAGAAATTGTAAATTTATTTTATGATATATAAATGAAATCTCTTGAACATCTTAATTAGCAATTGATATGGATATTATGTATTGAGTAGCACGTGGATTTCTCCGTGCAAAGTGAGATGGAAAGAAGTGGGCATAAGGTGTCGTATGTGTTAAAGGGTTGGAAGTTGTGGTTTATGGTATGAGATTACGAGAGATGAAATTATTGGAATCGTGTATTAGAAACAATTTGTTTGGTTGAGTTGACATCGTTTTTCCTACTTGAGCACATTTACACTTATTTGTATCCCAATTGTATTGTTGTTTAATTACTTGGTTATTTCTCGTTTCCATTCGTGTTTTCCCCTTATCGTCATTACTGTTTGTAATTTGATTTATTCCTGCTATTGGCATTACTTTGATATCCCTATCTTGTTAGCTTTATGTCATATCCTGCTCAGGTTTATATGTTCGGTAGGTGTCTTGACCTGGCCTCGTCATTACTCTACCGAGGTTAGGCTTGATACTTACTAGGTACCACCGTGGTGTACTCATACTACACTTCTGCACATCTTTTTATGTAGAACCAGGTACTTCAGATCGAGTTGGTTTTGAGACTTGTTCTTGGTGTGGCTGTAGACTTCAAGGTACACCTGTTGGGTGTTTGCAGGCTCCGAAGTCACCTTTTATTGTATTTATTTCCATTGTTTCCTTTTGTTCTAGACAGTGATGTATTCATTCTGTATAACTACTCCTAGAAAGGATTATGACTTGTACTACTACTTTGGGATTGTAAATTGTATAGAGATTTCTATTTCTAAATTGTTCGATGTTAGTAAATATTATCGTTATTTCTGTTAATATTAGGCTTACCTA